GGGGACTAGGGACCTGCCAAATGGGCTGGTATTCTAGGGAGAGAAGGGAGGCCCAGCACAGCCTGCCCCATCTGTTGAATGAATAAAGAAGCTGGACCTTACAAGGGCAGCTCAACCAGGGGTCCAAGCAGCCAAGGAGAGTGTTTAGGGGGTGGGGCAGCAGCAGCCAAGGCATACTACAGGCCAGTTCCCCTATGCCTCTCGGTAGCTCAAGAATAGGACAGACAAGCTGCACCAACCTGGCCTGACCCTTCTGAGCCACCCCAGGCTGCCCAGAGACTGCTGGTTCTGGCAGGAAGCCTCTGGAGCAGGTCCAGCTGCAGGGCAGCAACCTAGTAAGGGCTGCCCCTTACCTGACCTTGGGCATCAGAACATGGGGTGAGGAGGGGAAGGTTGAAGCTAAATGAGGTGTGAAGGCTTGGGCCCATGGGGGTGTGCAGGGGGCATGGGGCATGCCAAGCAGCCCCAGATGGTGCCACAGGAGCAGGAGAGGCAGCAGCAGGGCCCGGACCAAAAGCCTGTGCCTGCTGTGCTCCGGTCTGAACCCCAGGGTTGCTCTAGGTCCCCAGCAAGCCAATCTGGAAGGTCCAGGGGTGGGGGCACCAGGTCCCACCGCCTGCTGTCTGAACCCAAGTTCTTCCGCCCGCTAGCAGCATGCAGGCTCTTGCCCAGCCCTGCTGGGTGTGCTCCTGGGCTCCACCCTGGGTGTGCCCATCCCTCCCCACGGGCCTGGCCTGGAGCCTACACTCACCATGCGTCCGTTGGGGACGCCCAGGTGCTTGGGCTTCCCTGGCATGCCTCCGCTGTTCACTGGTCCCCGCCACGGGGGGCGCCCACCATGGGGACTGTGGGCAGGGCGCCGAGGCCAGAGCTTTCAGGGCGGCAGGCAGGCGCGGATAGAACCCAGCTCCGCTCCTGTGGGCCCTCACATCCTGAAACACCCGCTCACTACCTCTTTTCTCTGCCACAGGAAGTGTCTCTATAGAAACGGAACCACAGAAAAAAGCAAGGTCTGAGAGAGTGAACGCCTCTTCCTACACACACATTCACACACACAGGCTGCCAGCACAACCTTGCAGTGCCCCACGCAGGCACCGACACACGGCGGGGGCCCTGCATGCTTGGAGAGGAGCCCAGCTTGGCCTGGCCCGGCCCGGGAGCTCCAGGGTCATGTCTAGGCACACAGAAAGGCACGCCCACACACCTAGGCAACTATGGGCAACCCAGCAGGGGCTCCGTGGACACACGTGTATATACAAGTACATGTGCACCAAGCATCCACATGTGGACTTTACTCAGCACATGCTTATCTCACACCTGCTGCGTGTTGGGCATGTACACACTCAGCACCCCTCCCCCAGGCAGTGGTGCCCATGCAGTCACTCCTTTCATCCCCAGACACTTCCCAGGCACATGCCCAGGTGTGCACACAGGTCAGCACCTCGCATGCGTGGTCATGCGCTTACAGGCTATTCAGGTGAGCCCGTCATAAACACATGGGATCTCCTCCATAAGGACTGCCTGGTGTTTGGTCAACTGTCTGTACAATCCTGGGGACAGGCACATGTGACAGGCACACCTGCACCCAGCACAGGTGTGCACCATGCTCAACCACGAGGGCAGGGGCATGGGTCAGGTGTGTCTGTGTCTTCACAGTCCCCTTGCTCACATGCAAACCCATCTCGGCAGAGCCCTGCCAGCTGGAGAGCGACACCCTGCACTCAGCCTGGCCAGCCCCAGGGGACCTAGGCCCTTTAGCCAGAGCCCTCTGTTCTCCTCCTTACACACACATGTTCCCTCTACTGTACGTATGGACTTAGGGCCCTAAACCCCAGTTTGGGCCCCTGTCTCAACAGGGAAAAGGTGACACCTCCTTTTCCATATTCTACCTCTATACCCTGCCCCATTTTAGGGCTGTGACCTGAAAATTTTGGTGGCAGAGACTCATTCTTCATCACAAATTCATGTTCTTTTCTTCCTGGGTACATGGCTGAACTTTAATTTCCCAGGCTCTCTTGCAGTCATGTGTGGCCATGTGACTAGCTCCTACCAGTTGAATGTGAGTGGAATGGTGCGTGCTGTTTCTGGACCAAAACTCTGAAGTGTTGCTTCAAAGACATGCTGTCTGCATTCTCTTTGCCCTTCAGCTGGCTGGCTGCAGAAGATGATGAGGCTATAGGGGACTGTGGAACCACCACAAGGAAGAGGCTGGGGTCTCTGCATTAGTCCTCGAAGGCAAGCCACCCATCAACCAGAAATAGCAGCTTTGGGCTGTTATGTATGAGCTAGAAATAAACTTGAAGCCATTGCACACATTAGGGCTTATTTGTTACAGCAGCTAGCATTACCCTAGTTAAATCACCTCTTCATGCAGCCCTGACTCAACTCCTTCTGGACACTTTGCTCCGGGCCACCCAGACAGAGGGATTCATTCAGATGTGAATGTGTATGAGGTGTGTGTATGAGGGGCTGCTTTTGGGCCTGGAGCATTGCCCATGGTGGTTTTAATACATGACAGTGCGAATGTGCCTGTCAGGGGGGCTGGGGAGTGTGTGGCATGAGTGAGGACTGCCTGTCTGTCTACTGTGCCATGGCTCTGAGCCTGAGCTTCGGAGGGGGCTTTACAATTTACAGGGCTTTCTCCTGAACTGACCTAATCTGATCCTTACAATCTCCTTGTGACTGGTTCTCATTATTCCCATTTTACAGACCAGGAAACTGAGACTTGGAGAGATGTGAGTTGCCCAAGGTTACACATCAGGTCAGAGATCTGCTAAGCTGTGAACACATGTGCTTGGGGTGCCAGGAGTTGGACCTGGGCCACAACCAGCCCGGGGGCTAGCAGTGCACCTTCCTTTCCCAAAAGACCCAATCACACGCTCTGCCTGGGAGCCCCTCCCAAAGTCATCCTCTCTGGCTACTGAGAGATGCCTCTCTCTACCTGTCCATGTGGATGCCAGTTTCATCTCTGACCACATCTCCACCCCAGGGACCCCAGGAAACCCTGGGACTTCCTATCTCTTAGCGCTTATCTACTTCACTCCATGGGCGTGGTGGGGACCTTCACTCCATGGAACACTGTTCTCAATTTCTCCGTCCCTGGCTTCCCAAAGGTGATCACTTACTGATGTCTAGTCTTCCTGTGGGACTTCCAATCCCCATTCCCTGTGGAGACCTCAATGGCTCGGACCTGGCCCTCTCTCATCTGGTCCTAATGACCTATTCAGTTGACCCACCTGTCACCTGGCTCCAGTCTCTTCTCACCATAGCAAGAGAAATCCACATTGGCCACTCCCATGCTTAAAACCATTCCATTGCCTTCTGGAAAAAAGTCATGTTCTTTAGCTGGGAATTGCAGGCCCTTTGAGGCCTGGCCTCAGCCACACTCTTGCCCATCATTGTTTAGCCATTCCAAGCTGCCTGCACTCCTTATACTTTCAGGGGTCCCTCCCTGCCTTCACATTTCCTGTTCCCCTTTCTGGTAAATTGCTCATTCTTTATGACTTGATTCCAGGTTCTAGAACAAATATTCATTCTTTCACCAACTTATTAATCACCTCCTATGTGTCAAGTACTGTTGTAGATGCTTGAGATTCAGTAGTGATCATAGCTGACAAAAACCTCAGTCCTCATGGCGGTCTAGTCGAATGTACATGTCCTCATTTGTATGGCTATAAATAAAAAAGCTCATTAAACATATATGACCCAGCCCTGGCTGGTGTGGCTCAGTGGTTGGAGTGCCAGCCTACATATCAAAGGGTCCCCAATTTGATTCCCAGTCTAGGGCACATGCCTGGGTTGCAGACCAGATCCCCAGTAGGGGGCTCAGAGAGGCAAGCACACATTGGTGTTTCCCTCCCTCTCTTTCTCCTTCCCTGCCTCTCTCTAAAAAATAAATAAAATCTTTTTTAAAAATGACCCAGAAAAGACCTCTTGTCACGTAACCCTGAATAAGTTGATTAATTCAAAAGGGAAGTTTCTTAAAATTTAATAAAGGAGCAACCAACGAAGATCCTGCCCTGTGATCTATAACAGGGGTCATTAATTCAAATGTCTAGAGGAGCCAGACAGGAGGGCTAAATTAGTGGTCAGCATGTAGAGTGTATACTAACTTAGAAGAGGAAGGCATTTGTAGGGGGGCAGCCCATGGGCTTAGCTTTGTTGGATCTTCCCATTTTTCCAGAGAAACCGGAAATTTTGTTTCTAATATGAATTTAAGAGTCCTGATTTAAATATATTGGTAGTTAAATCACTTATTAAAAAAGCATTAGCAGGTAAAAGCAAAGCTGTATTTGGCTGTGTTAGTCAGTCGTATGGACTGGTGGCAAGATTTAGTTCCTGGGACCTCTGCTCCAGAGGTCAGGGAGCCTCGGGTGTCACCGGAATGTTACACGTGAGTTGTATTTGGCTTCAAATAACACCAGTTTTCGACCTTTGGTTCACGGCCGGCTTTCCTGCACCTTTAATGTACTCTCCTTGCTGCGCCAGGTAGGCACTACGACCATTTGGATCTGCATGGGCTCCAAACATCACTGGGGTCCCCAGTCAGGGTCCAGGTCTGTTGCGCTGCTTAACCCCGGCTGGGCCTGAGGAGCTGGGAGAAGTGGACACCCTAAAATCACTGGTAATTCTAAGTCTTCAAGGGTGTGAAGCTGCAGGGTGTTAAGCCAGAACTAGCTAAGGTACACTAGAGGTCTCCTAGGGAGTCCGAGGTGGCGCGGGAGTTGAAATTCAGGTCTCCGCCTTCTAATTAGAGATCCTTTGCTCTCGGACTGGGAAAAGTTACTACAAGGAAGTGGTCAGTAGCCAGAGGCCCAGGGCACTGTAATCTTCGTTCGTCCGGCCCGCGCGAGCATCCCACCATAACTACAAGTTCCAGCACGCCTCGCTTCGCGGGCTGCAAAAGTTCAACCATCGACTCAAACCTTCCTTCTGTTTTCCATTGGCTCACAGTCCTAACGTGCTGTTCCATGATTGGCTGTGGTTTGTAAGAACCTGTTGCTGAGGCAGGCCGACAGGTGCGCCGGGGGAGCCAAGAAAGTGTGGAACTACAGTTGATCAGGATGGGGGCTGCTCAGCAAATAAAGCCGCCGTCCCCTGCTGTGAGGCTTTGCTTTTAACTCCAGGTGACACTAGGTTTAGAGGGTTTCCGGCCGGAGGCCATTATATGGGGCACCCGGAAGGCGGAAGTGCTAGAACGGAAGTGGCGGAGAGGAACGGAGAATGGCGGCGGAAGGATGCATTTGGCGCTGGGGCTGGGGCCGGCGGTGCCCGGGGAGGCCTGGGCTTCCCGGCCCCGGCCCTGGCCCCACGACACCTCTACTTCTTATCCTGTTGCTGGGGTCGGTGGCTGCGGATATAACTGACGGCAACAGTGAGCACCTCAAGCGGGAGCATTCGCTTATTAAGCCCTACCAAGGTGAGGCCTGGGGCGGGAACGAGTGCAGGGCGAAGGCGAGGCTGCACCGGGTTGGCAGAGGGAGCGCTTTTTCTCACGAGCGGGACAGCTCTCTGGGCTTCTTGCCTCTGGCAAGGCCAGTCCTGGCATGGCTTGTTACCCACCTGTTTGTGCCCGTCACTCTGCCCACAGGGGTCGGTTCCAGCTCCATGCCCCTCTGGGACTTCCAAGGCAGCACTATACTCACCAGCCAGTACGTGCGTCTGACCCCTGATGAGCGCAGCAAAGAAGGCTCTATCTGGAATCACCAGGTGAGTGGTGCCCCAGAGGCCAGGCATACCCTTAAGAAAGCCACTACTCCCGGCCTCCGCTGCAGCCCAGACCGGACTTTGACTTGAAGGCTCGCCCCTCCCTCCCCCGCTCCTTCCCCATGTTGGTCCCATTCACCGGTAATAACAGGCAATGGCTATTGAAGTTATTTTGTGTCGGAGGCTGTGCTTGACACTTTACCTCCTATTCACTTAATTCTTTCAAAACCCATGTGAAGGAAGGGATGTTATTTCCGTTTTGCTGACTAAGGAGCTAAGGCTCAGAGTTAAGTGGGGCTGTCAGGCTGTCTGAATTGACCCCTCTCAAATGTGGGATAAGTGGAAACAACAGGGCCTTTATCGGGTGTTTTACTGTGTTGTACACTGACTTGAACACACTTTACTGCGGTTAGTTCTTGAATGGGCTGCTCGATGTAGGTGGCTGTTGTGGCTTTGTGCAGAGCTAACACAGTGAGTAATTCAGCATAAACAGAATCTAAACTCGGATCTCTCTGATCTCCAAGCCCAGCAGTTCACTTGCTATGCGTGACCGCCCCCTGGAGGGCGAAGGCACCCCTTAGAAGTGCTTGCAGACTCAGTCCCCTTACCCAGTGCTTAACTGAGGGTCTTGTCTATAGTCGTATGGACTTGTGGGCAGATTTAGTTGCTGTGACCTCTGCTCCAGAGGTCAGGGAGCCGCAGGTGTCACTGGAATGTCACACATGAGCAGTGGCCACAGTCAATTGCTACACAGACTTCACACTGGGGAAATCTAGGCCAGGAGAAGGTGTAAGGGGGTTAATTTGGGGCTTGGGCGCAGCTTGAGGTGGGGCCTGTGCCTGCCTCATCCAGCCTGGCCCCAGCTTTTCCCGTGCCCTAGTTTTCTCCATCACCCTCCTCTTAGTCCCTTCTGGTTGACATCCCCATTCTCTTCTGGGAGCCCACACTATCTCATGTTTCCTCACCTGCTTGTCCCCTCAGCTCCTCCTCTCCTTACCACTAGGGGTGGTCGGGATTCCTCTGCTAAGCTTTTACTCTGATCTTTTGAGCCTGTGGTCCCCTGTGAAGGGGTAAACACGCGGCATGCCCACACATTCTGCCCCCTGGTGCTGGGAACTGACTGACAGTCATCTGCCTTGTTGACTTTGTTCAGAATCCTGTGCGCCTCAGGGTCTTTGCCCATGTGGTTGCCCCACTCTGGGGCTCTGCCTCTTGGCCCTTCTGGCCTGCTTGATCCTTCTCATCTGTTAAGTCTCAGCCCAGTGCCGCCCACTGAGAGAGGCCTTCAACAAAAGAACTCCCCTGAGTCACATTCTGTCGCATTATTCTGCCTTAGCACTTTCAGATAATTTAAAAAAATGAACCCTGGTCAGTGTGGCTCAGTTGGTTGGATGTCATCCTGTAAAGCAAAAGGTCATTGGTTTGTTCCCAGTCATGGCACGTGCCTGGGTTGCGGGTTTGGTCCTGGTCGGAGTGTGTACGAGAGGCAACAGTGTTTCTCACATAGATGCTTTTCTCCCTTTCTTTTTCCCTCTCTTACCCCTCTCTAAAAATAAATAAATAAAATATTTTACAAAATGACAGTGTAGCCTTACATTTTCTGTGGAAATGAGTTTGGTTTAGCATTAAGGCTTTTTATTTTTTTAAAGTAAGGTACAAGTAGTGATGGAACTGTTGGATATTGGGTCCAGTCACAAGTAACTGATTATGGTTGTAGGTCACGGGTGGTTGGTGTTGTCAGTGGTGTGACACTATCACAGGGCTGGCAGGATTCTGCACTTTATCGAACTGCTTTCTCCCACCTTCCAATTTAGCTCAAGGGACCTTTTGCTGTTTGGCCCTACAGGTGTTTCCTACAGTTTCTGAAAGACGTTGCTTAGAGCTCTTAGAATTTTCTGCCCAGCGTTTCCCAAGAGCCAGCTAGAGAGATGCTTTCTGGACTTTTCTCTTTCTTGTCACCACTGCTCACTCCATCTGGGAGAGGCAGCCAATGAGCAAACACTACTGAGGACCTGCTGCGTCGAAGCAGAGATGAGGCACAGGCCTGCTGTGGCACAGGGGCAGACGGTCGGATTAAGGGCTGGAGCTCCAAGTGCCTGGCGGCCGGGGCTCAAGGCGTTCTGCGGGGCTGGTGTGGCGGCTGCAGCCCGGCCTCTGGGCTGTCTGCGCTGGTGTTGGTCTGCATGTAGCTGCCCCCTCCCTTTGTAAACAGGTGGCCTAAGTTTAAATATTTGTAAGAGGTCTAGTTTCCAACATATTTTAAATATTGCCATTTTAAAGTAAAACTTAAAGTGTAGTCGGTGGAATCTGAATATTGTGATTCGATGTCCACTCTTTTTTTTTTTTTTAAGACTTTATTTATTTTTAGAGAGGGAGGGGAGGGAGAAAGAGAGAGAGAGAAACATCAATGTGCGGTTGCTGGGGGTCGTGGCCTGCAACCCAAGCATGTACCCTGACTGGGAATTGAACCTGCGAACACACTGAGCTGCATCAACCAGGGCTCACTCTTTCTTTTAAACACTGGGAGTCAACCCAGATTGTATGTCAGTTCTTTACTGAACTTGTGTTTCATTTCATTTCCCAAAGCAGAGTGCTGCCCTGATGCAGTGTGTTTGCTGCTGGAAAACCTCTGCCCCTGTGGCTAATGTATGCACACTAATTTACACTGTTTAACCTTGTGGGTTTCCTTGGGATTAGTGTCAGTGCACAACAGATCGAAATAAATGCACTACACATTATACAGTGTTCACATAATTATAGAAAAGCGAAAGTTTATTGAAGTGCATCTCAGTGAGCTGTCACATATTCCCCCCGTCTGGGTGGATATTACTGTCAGAATGAAACAGTCTGCAGCCCATCTTCTGCTTCTTGTTTTTCTAAATGTAACTCTGAGACACAGGGAGTTGTACTGTCTTGGGTCACTCAGTACTTTCATAAAAGAAGGAAGGTAATCTTTTTCTCCTTCTGGTGTCTTTCTTTGTTTTCTCCCTCCTTTTCCATCCTTCCTAAGTATAGTTTCTCTTGTCTTTTTCTTTTTGTCTCTTTTGCTTTGTAAGACTTAAGATGTGTGTAATAATGTCTTTGAATCCGTTTTAGTGTTACACATCTCTCTACTTTTTTCTTTGCCCCGTTCTATCACTGTTCGTTCTGAAACTCCAATTACACGTGTCTGACTGTGGCCCAGGATGGCTGTGAATGCCTCCCAACACTAAACCGTAAATTTACTTTTTTTTTTGGTTCATTAATTTCATTAGTGTTTGTGTATTTAACGTGTGGCCCAAGACGGCAGTTCTTCTTCCGTTGTGGCCCAGAGACGCCGAAAGGCTGGACACCTGTTCAGACTGTCTCGCTCTCTCCTCTGCCACGTACTCAGTGTTTTGCATTGGTCATGCTTCTTTTCTCTCTGCTTAATCTGGATATTTTTATCTGACTGCACTGGAGTTTACTAGTTCTCTCTTCATCTGTTTTGAATCTGTTGTAAAACAGATCCATTACATTGTTAATTTCAGTTATTGTATTTTTCATACTGCAATTTTTATAGTTTTAAAAAACTTCAGTGATCTGTCAGAGTTCTCGGTCTTGTGTCTTACCTCTCTGAGCTGGTCAACCAGTTGTGTGTACGGCCGACATATGGGGTTCCTGCGAGCCTCCTTCCTCCCTCCCTGTGGTTTGTGTGCATATCTTGTCTTTTCACTGCCTGGCATTTTTCATTGTGTGCTGGATGTTGTCTTTGTACTATGAGGCCTAGAGGAGTCTCTCGTCAGATTTCAGGGATTGAGAGGACTCAGCTGGGCTGCAGTCCCTGGCAGGGCCCTTCTTGTTCCTTCTTGTTTTTGGCTTACTGTCGTCACGGTCCCAACATGAAGCAGGGGCGCTGCACCTGCTCAGCAGGCTCCGGACTCGGATTTCTCGTCTGTCTGTCCTTGAGAGCTGGTTCTCATCCCTCTCACTCACGCCTCTGGAATCTGCACATTTCCCAGAGCCAGTGAACCGTCGAGAACCGGGAAGGCCGATTTCACAAGACTGGCAAGCTGCCTCACAGGTGCCTGCTGGTGCTGTGTCCTCTGGGCCAGGCTGGGTCCCATCTGCTGGGCATGCAGTGCCCAGAGCCGAAACACTGGGTCTGCTGAGCTCATGAGTGCACAAGGCCGTTTGCCCAGGATGGGATGGAAAGGTCTTTGTTTTTGAGTATTTTTTCTGATTACAGAGGCAGCACGCTCATTACATAGAAGTCAAAATAGAAAGTGAACACCCCGCCCAGAGTTGCGTGCACTCAGGTCGGCTCCCCACAGTCCTTCCACTCTTCCTTCCCTTGCATGTGTCAGTCCCGGGCTCTTTCAGATGGGAATGTAGCACGTGTGGCTCTGCCCCTCCTATAAAAAGCTGCAGCAGCCAAACCGCCCCCAGGAAGGTGAGAGGGAGTGCTCGCACTCCCACTGGCTGAGTGCGTTTTTTCGCTTCTCCTCCACAGGGGTGTTAATGATCTCTTTAATTGTTGCCAGTCAGACAGGTCAACAGTATCTGTTTTCATTCGCCTGTCTGATGGGCCTGTGTTTAATCACTTGCTCACACATCCATCTGCAGATTTCCACTGGTGGGTTCTTTTCAAAGGATGTGTCAGCTGTAGTTTTCATGAGCAGCTTCCTGGAGGGCGAGGCCAGGCCCCTTCCCTCGCTGCAGCGTTGCCCAGCCCTGTACCTGGTGTTCCTGATGCCAGGGAGCATCTGCCTTCCCTCAGGTCACGGTTCTGCCCCTGCCCTGCTGCTGTCACCACACTGCGGCCCGCTGGGGCTGCAGGAGTCAGGGGGTACGCTGCTGGCCAAGAGGGGTTTGCAATCAGCCAGACCCAGATTTGAGTCCCTCAGTTTGGAAGGTTGGTTAGAAGGGAAGATGGTAGGGGTGGAAGGCTGGAAAGGAGCTGATGCAGTTCGAGTTAAGGACCTGCAGGCTGTAGGAGGGACAGAAGACAGCACAGGTTTCCACCTTAGACAGGCCTGCGTGTGATGCAAGGCTGCCCTACCTGCTGTTGGCTGTCGTTCTGTCTCTGAATGTGTTTTCTCTTCTGTAAATATGTGGCTGAAGAGGGGATACTGATCCTCCCACAAGATCTCAGGGCAGGGGCACTGGGGTGGAGAGAAAACAGGGCGGATAGGGTTGGCTGGTTTTGAGGAACGTGAATCAAAGTCAGTAAGGCTGGTGCTGGGCCGGGTGGGTCCTGGGCCTCAGGCATTCTTGGGACCCTGTGTGGCCTCCCCTCCTTCCCTGGGAGGCCTGGCAGCCCCCTCTCTCCTGTTGAGGAAGCTGGAGGGTCCATTGGCCCGTGGTGCTCGTGCCTGGCTGCCTGGCCCCCTCCGGGGAGGGCCTGGGCTCGGTGCCACAAGGTCCAGGCTGGCACACCACCAGCTGGTGGAAAGGCCCAGAGAGCTCAGAGCAGCCCTCTCCATACGCCCCCCCCCCCCACCCCCCCGCAGCCTTGCTTCCTCAAGGACTGGGAGATGCACGTCCACTTCAAAGTGCATGGCGCCGGGAAGAAGAATCTCCATGGAGACGGCATCGCCCTGTGGTACACTCGGGACCGCCTTGTGCACGGTAGGGCTGCGCTCTGTGTGTGGGGCCCCTGTGACCAAGGGTCCTCCACTCTGCACTCTCCCGTTAGGCTGCTGCTGCTCTTCTTCAGAGAGCCCTGGGACCTCGGGTTGGCTGAGGGTGGTCCCCTGGGGAAGAAGAGGGGCTGGGCTCTGCAGCTCAGCTCGGTCCCCGCGGCGGCCTGCTGTTGCACACCAGCAAAGAATGGCTTTCCCCACTTCAGAGTGTTATTTTTAAAAAGCAGAAGCAAGGAAGTCTGTATGTGGCCCTTAAAGTTGAAAGTGTTTCCTCTGTGGACCTCGGCAGGAAGCTGCCGACCCTGGGTTAGAGGATGGGGCTTCCCGGTTTTCACAGGCTGGGTGCCCTCTCGTCACTGCACACTCAAAGCACAGGGCTAGCTGCTGTCCACTGACGTTCAGGCTTCAAACTTGGTCCTCTTTGCCAGACCCAAGACCACCTGCAGGCTTTTCCTTTAGAGACTGGGTGCCCGACAGCAGGCTGCCGCCTCTTGCTGCCCGCCCCCCCCCCACACTGGCACTACTTTGGCCTTCGTGTTAGCCAGGGCACAGCCCCGATTCCCCACAACTGCAGCGTCTCTTTCTCACCCCAGGGCCTGTTTTTGGAAGCAAAGACAACTTCCACGGGTTAGCCATTTTCCTGGACACGTACCCCAACGATGAGACCACGGAGGTAGGCCCCTGCTCCCTCCCGTGCAGCAGGGCAGGTGGGGCTGGGAAGCTGGCTGGGCAGGGGGGCCCTGCCGCTCGGCAGGCTGGGCCGGCTGTGGAGTAACCGGTGTCTCGGTCTCAGCGTGTGTTCCCGTACATCTCGGTGATGGTGAACAATGGCTCCCTGTCCTACGACCACAGCAAGGACGGCCGCTGGACTGAGCTGGCGGGCTGCACGGCTGACTTCCGCAACCGTGACCACGACACCTTTCTGGCTGTGCGCTACTCCCGTGGCCGCCTGACGGTGAGCAGGCGCAATGGGGAGGGTGGGGTGGGGTGTCCCTTGCCTAATGGGCTCTGCGGGGCGGGCGGGCAGGCTGGGCCTGTGGCATGCGTCACCTGCTGGCCGGCTGCAGGTGATGACTGACTTGGAGGACAAGAACGAGTGGAAGAACTGCATTGACATCACTGGAGTGCGCCTTCCCACCGGCTACTACTTTGGGGCCTCGGCCGGCACCGGCGACCTGTCTGGTGAGTGGGCTGCGCAGGGTGTTGAGTCTTAGCCGTGACCTTCCCTGGTCTGCCAGGCTTGTGGCATAGCTGGTCACTCTCCTTCTCGGACTTCCTACATCGGCTCCACGCTCGCCCGGTCTCTTTTACTTCATGTTAGCTCAGTTTTGGCTTGCCCAGGGCTCAGCCTGTAAGCAGGCTCAGCCGTCTGGCCCTCTTTTTAGGTGGCTTTGAACTGGACCCTTAGACCCCAGATTGCTGCCTGCAGCCCAGCGTTGTCACCAACCCACTCAGCGTCTCCGCTCAGCTGTCCCTCGGGTGTCTCCGCCTTTACATGCCCACAGCTGATGACCACATCTTGCCACCAGGACATAAATGATACCTCTGTCCTTCTACTGGCTCAGTCTAAAAACCTTATTGTCATTCCGGACTTCCCTCTTGTCTCACATGCCCCCTGCCATCCATCGGCGAGCCCCGCCAACTTTGTCTCCACAGTGGAGCAGACCACCTCTCACCCTTACCTCACTCCCTGGGGGGTCCCTGCCGCCATCCTCTCTCACTCGGAAGCTGCAGGAGCCCCCAGGTGACCCCCTCCCTGGGGATCTCCAGCCCCTAGCAGTCTCTCCCAGCTCAGCAGCCAGAGCGACCCCACAAAACTCACATGAGGTGTCACCGTGTCTTCGCTCAGAGCACTGCAGTGGCTCCCTGCTCGTTAAGAGTCAAGGCCACCACCGGTCCCAGCCATGGCCTGTGGGGCCCTGGTGCTGGCCCCTCCCCCACCCAGCCACCTCTGGAGCTCTGCTCCCAGCTTCTCGGTTGTACGGGCTCTAGCTACTCAGGCACCAGGGCCTCCTGCTCGGGCCTCCATGCCCGTGTCTCACTCTCATCCTCACGTCTTGCTCAGATGTCACTTCCTCAGTGGGGTCTTCCCTGATTCCCTTGTTTAAAATTGTACACATCACCCCAGATGCCTGCACACTCTCTGCGAAGTCACATGACGTGTGCTTAGGTAGCTAGTGGCCTCCGTCCCTTGTCACCCAACGGGGACCATTTGGAGTGTGAGCGACGAAGGGACTTCTCCACGTTCACACCCGGAGGTGGCAGAGCATGGATGGGAGCCGTAGTCTGACTGTGGAGCTGGGTGCACCCTGGGCCTCTGGGGGCTGCATACGCCGGGCGGTCAGGTGCCTCGGGCTCTGCTCACCTGGCCGCTGGGCTCCTGCTCTTTAGCTCCCCATTTCCAGGCTCTTCCTCAGAGTCCGGTCAGTGAGCAGAGCTGACGGTTGGGACCTGCCTCTCGGCCGGAGCCTTGGCCTCCCAGTCTCAGAAACGGGAGTCGGTGGCCGTCAAGCAGAGGGTCTTCCCTGCCTGGTCTTTTTGCACTGGGCCTTCCCCATGTCTCAGGAGCTGTCGCTGACTGCGCATCAGGGCCGCACCCGCAGCCGGGCAGGAGGGGGCTCTCCCCAGGAACCTGGCCACTGTATGCGGCAGGGAGAGGTATGGGCCATGTGCCCTGAGGTGGGCTCAGGGCCCTTACCCGCCAGCACTCGGTCCCGCAGACAATCACGACATCATCTCCATGAAGCTGTTCCAGCTGATGGTAGAACACACCCCTGATGAGGACAACATCGACTGGACCAAGATTGAGCCCAGCGTCAATTTCCTCAAGTCGCCCAAAGGTATGTGTTCGGGGCCCCTCCCACTCGGGCCTACATGGGACTGGGGCCAGGCCAAGGCCGGCGTAGTGGGCGCCCATGGGCCCCTGCCATTGCAGGTCTGGCTGTGGTGGTGGCCTGGGCTCCGGGACCGGCAAGCCATGCTGACGAGCAGTGTGGCAGCATTGGAGCCTGCTCCCTCCCACGGTTGGTGCCGGGGCGAGGGCGGGGAAAGCCGCAGGGACCAGTTTGTTGGTGGAGGCGTTGAGCAGGGCACTGATAATGCATGTGCATGACCTCAGTGAATGGCTGGGAAGTAGGTCCTACCACTGACCAAAGGAACTGATCCTTTAGTTTCCTCGGCCAGAAAGGGATAGAGCAGGATTTGAACTTGAGTTGCTGCAGAACTCCATTGTCTGGGCTCTTCTCAGAGCACTCAGTAGCCACAGCTCTGCCCTCACAGAGGGAGGGTTCTCGTTGGTGAAGGAGGCCCGTGTTTGGAGAAATCCTGTCAGCCCAGCCCATGGTCAGCTGTAAACTGAACTGTGTGAGCTGAAATGGACCCAGTGTTTTATGTGACAGCTCACTTATTTAAGATTCAAGTTACTTTTAAATGTTTTTGAGAGTCAAACATTTGCCTTAGGCCACGGGCTTACCACTTTGGACTAAGGGTTTTTGGCTGCTGAGGGCTCAGACCTTGTCGTTCCCACCTACCCAGCAGCCCCACCCGCTTGGCCAGGCAGGGATCAACCTATTTTCATACCGACTGCCCCATTCACCCCTCCAGCAGTGAGTTCCAAAATCCCCACTCAGTGTTAGCAGTGTGTTGGCGCTGCCCCAGGGCTCACTGTAGTGACAAGCGGAGAAGGGGACACAGGGCACTTGGGAACCCTGGGCGCCCCTGGCTCCATCAGTGGCCACCACTGTCACTGTGCAGGGGTAGCACCACAGGCCTGCCGGGGAGGGAGGGTGTCAGTGGGCTTATGGCTGGCATCCCAGGCCTGGCACTCATCAGGGTCACTGATAGGGCTGGCGGGCAGTTGCGTGGTGAGGCCAGAGTAGGATAGGGTAGGGCCTGGGACCTGTCAGAGCTGCCAGGTGCATCCAGGTGTGAGTTGGGGCAGAGTTCATCTGCGGCTGCATAGACCTCTGCACTGGGGTGGGCTGGGCCTGTGAAAGCAGGTCCTGGGATTCCCGGACGGAGCAGGCTCTCGCAGAGCCCAGGAATCCAGTGTTCACGGGCTCCTTGCAGCAGCAAGGCACTCCCCAGGCCTTGATCTCCAGGATCGATGGGGTCGCCCCTGTCCGGTGCCTGCCCCTCGCCGGTGCAGTGTGGGCAGACACAGCTCCCCTGGGGGGTGGGGCCTTGCCGGGGCCACCACCCGGCCCCTCTGCCTGGCCACCTCAGACCCCCTCTTTTCTCCCTCAGACAACGTGGACGACCCGACGGGGAACTTCCGCAGCGGGCCCCTGACGGGGTGGCGGGTGTTCCTGCTGCTGCTGTGCGCACTCCTGGGCATCATCGTGTGCGCCGTGGTGGGGGCCGTGGTGTTCCAGAGGCGGCAGGAGCGCAACAAGCGTTTCTACTGAGTGGCCGGCGCCTGGCTCAGAGGGGCCCTGCTTTCCTCCGGCACTAATGTGAACTTTTTTTTTTTTTTACTGACATTGTAAAAGAAAAACAAGATGATCTTATTTCTTAACAGTTTCAAAGAAATAATTAAAGTATTTTCGTACATTTTGCTTCTTACCCAGCAGGGACAGGCTGCAGGGCCAGGGATTAGGGTTTGGCGTCCCCCCTCTGGAGACAGAGGCCCCTGCCTGTGGCTAGCACCTTGGGAGCAGGCTTTGCCCTGGAGCTGGGCTGGCAGGTGGCTGCTGAACACTGGAGGCTCCCGGCTGCATGGGTGGGTGCCTGAGGACATGAGCAGTGGTTTTGTTCTGTGCCCCTCACGGCAGAAGAGGTCGAGTAGGGAACCGAGGCTGTGTGTCCGCCTCTGCGTTCCCCAAGGCAGACCCTCCAGTGAGGCTGGAGCAGCAGTTTGGTGGGGCCCGAGTGAGGCTGTTCACTGAATAAAGTGAGATAACCACCCTCAGCTGTGTGGCTGCCCTGAGGGGCTGTTGTTTTCTTCAAACACCTTCCAGGTAGCCAGGCTTCCCACGCTCAGCCTCATGCCCTGGGGCAGGTGCTGTGCTCCCAGTTCCTGGGGGGACACAGCTCTCCTGTCAGCAAAGCGTGCACAGTGTCATGTAGCATGGGGTCATGGGGACAGGTGCTCTGTGTTCCTGTGCCCCCGCCCATGTGCTCTGGACCTCTAGATGAAAGGGTCTGGTGTGGGGAGGATTTGGGGTGCCATGCAGAAGGTTCCAGGATGATCTGGGATTAGGGGCAAGGGTCAGGCTGGGGCATTCCCTTTGGGGTGCGTTGAAGGGATGGAGGTGTCACAAGAGGTGGAAGAGAGCCAGCAGCTGACGGGAAGTGCCATCTTCATGACTCTGCACCCAGGCCATGGCCTGCCCCCACTGCCAGTCTCCCCCGTCCTGACCAGCTGGCCCACCTCAGAACATCGCCCCCAACTGATCCAAAGCTTTCAGTGTCTTCACACCCGCGGCTCCAGAATATCTGAGTCTCCAAGTTAAAAGCAAAAGCAACCCTACCTTCCTGTCGCAAGCAGGCTTTCTGTGGTGTATGCTGGCCGTCGGGCTCTCGTAAATAGTGGGCATATAGGAGGAGAGGGCGGGTGAGAACTTCCTCCCTCTGTCCCTCAGCCTCACTCTGGAGCCCTTCACTGGCCTGCTGGGAACCGCCCCGCCCGCAGTGTGTCACGGGCCGCCTGCCGCACATTGCCCACAGGCTCACAGTGACCTGGAGGCCTGACTCGAGTCTCTGTCACAGGCCTGGGACCTGCTCACAGAGCTGTGAGAGTGAACAGGGTCCTCATGACTAAGACACTTGGAGCTCTGTCCCCCGAGCAGTTTCTTTACTTGAAAAGCAGTGAACTCTGGGTGCCTCCGGACGCTGGCCGTGGCTCTGGGCGGCTGATGCATGGTAGCTTATTTCACTCCAGGGCATTTAGCCATGTGGGCACTGAGGACCCGCTAGGGCAGGCGGCTCCACCCCCCCACCTCCCTCCCGGGACGCCATGTCCACGCTGATGTGCAGCAGCTCTGCACGGCTGCCACAGCGCTGATCAGCGCCACGCTTGCTGTGCTTCGGCTTTCTTTTTTGCCTGACTTGGCCATCCCTGAATTCCCGAAACTCGAGGCTCTTGGGCATCTTCACGGCTCTCACCTTCACTGTGCAGCAGAGTCATCTGGAGAGCGAAGGTGAACCACCTGGTTCACCCGCTCTGGTGTGAGAAGCTGGGGGACCCGGTCATGGAGACTTTGAAAGGACCCCCCTCCCCACCGTGGTGGTGCTGACCAGTGCACAGTCTCAAGAGCCGGCAGCTGTCGGACCTGTGGCCAGGCAGAGGGTCGGTGCCCACAGGTGCGCTTGGTTGCCAGGGTCCCTCTCATGGCGTGTGGCTCAAGGACTGGTGTTCCTGCCCACCTGCCTGTCCTCACACAGGGATCGCGATGCTGCCACCTATAGCTTGCCGAGAGCATCTGAAACAGTTATCTTCTGGGGAAGTGAAGATGAATCTGTATTCTTGGGTCACAGTCAGGGAAGTGGCATCACCACGCTGGCATCCCCTGCCCCAAAACGTGTGCCCTGCCCTGTGGAGGTGATGGCTGCTGATTCTGATCGGGCCTGTGTTCCTTTTTAAAAATTGTTATTCTATTCCTGTTGTTGCAATTTTCCCCCTTTGCCCTCCTCTACCCAGCCCACTGTCCACTCCCAGTCCCCACACCATTGTCCTTGTCTGGGGGGCATTCATCGGGGGCTTTGACTTGCCCCTTCCCCTTCTCCCACCCCTCTGGCCACTCTCAGTCCACTCCATGCTTCTGTGCCTTTTGCTCGCTAGTTTCTTTTGTTTATTAGATTCCTCTTATGAGTGAGATCACATGGTATTTGTCTTTGGCTGACTGGCTGATCTCACTTAGCATAACGTTCTCCAGTTCCGTCCATGCATCACAAAAGGCAGAAGTTCTTTCTGCTGTGCAGTACTCAGTTGTGTAAATGATCCATGGTTTTTGGATCCACTCATCTACTGCTGGGTATGTTATGTGTTTCTTAAAAATGTTAGCATGGAGGTGTGTATCCCTCAGTACATGGTATTGCTTTGCATCCTAAAAAATTACAAATAATGGTTATGTACAGAGTATTCCTCAGCTTTTAAAGTGTAACACTGAGCGCCTGTGCGACATGCAGCTGGAGCTGTGGTGTGAGCAGACTCCAGTGTGTCCTGTCCGCGTGGCCGGCATCTAGGTGGTTTCCAGGCTTTGTTCTCAGGCCCAGCGCTGCTCTGCACACTGGAGCCCGTCCTCACACGCAGAGTGCACGAATGGCTGCATTATAGCCATGTGCATTCGGTTTAATTGGGTGCCAGAGTGTTCTCTAGGTGGGTTTTATCCAGTCCGCCTCCACCTTGGCTACTGAGATCCCCTCTGCCCACTTCTTAGCACATACTGTTGGAGTGGGTAATTTTTGACAGTCTGATAGGTGGCAAAGTTTTTTTTTTTAAGATTTCTTTTTAGAGAGGTGAAGGGAGGGAGAAAGAGAGGGAGAGAAACATCAGTGTGTTGTTGCTTCTTGTGTGCCTCCTACTGGAGACCTGGCCCACAACCCAGGCATGCGCCCTCACTGGGAAGTGAACCGGTGACCTTTTGGTTCGCAGGCCCGCTCTCAATCCTCTGAGCTATACCAGCCAGGGCCAAAGTTTTAATTTGCATTTCTCTACAAGTCAGGTTGAGGACCTGTGTATCCCCAAAGATGGCATTGGTTTTCCCTGGGGGGGGGCGTTGATTCTGCCTGTCTTCCTCGTGTCAGGTCCTTTGTAGACATCTCCTTGTCTCTGCTGTTATAATGATGTGTGGAACATTTTAATGCCCCTCATTAGTCTTTTCCAAAGATTTCGCCCCCCCAAATGTTTACATTTTGCTTTTCAGATTTGGCATTTAGCGTACTGTGAGTTCATTTTTGTGTGGGGAGTGATGTCAGTCTGGTTGTCCCCTCTGTGCTGATGTCCAGCCCATTGTGCCAGCAGCACTTTCACTGATGCATTTGTTTCTCTGCATGAGCCATAGCACCACTGAGGCAGGGGCTCGGCTGGTGGCGCCTGCATCTTGATACTGCTCCCTCGCCTTCCTCCTCTTCCATGGCCTTGACCTGAAGGCTGAAAACTCAGCTGAACCTTTCAGCTCCTTCTGGGTGCTGGAGCCGGAGGAGATGCTTGAGGCAGTCAGCCGAGGAGGTTCTCAGTAACCACATCAGGCAGCAGGAGGAGGGGGCAGCCACCGCCCCCTCTCCTACCGGAGTGTGGCATCTCTGAAGCTGGGGAGCCCTGTCACCTCAGAGGCTAGGGGGAGTGCAGGTCTTTTCACATGGCTGGAGTGCTGCTCCAGCCTGGACTGCCAACCACAGGGCTTTCATGTGAAAAAGTCAGTCTGTATTTGTTCACAGCTACTGTGAATCATGTTTTCTGTTTGTGGCTAAAACCAGCCAGCCCTGCATCTGGCCCCAGGCTTGTGTCTGCTCTGGACTGCAGCTAACACTCATACGCCCACTCGGTTCTGGCCACTAGGACAGCACACAGACCAAAGGGACAGAAGACAGGGGGATCAGGTAGGATAAATAAGTAAAATATGTGTCCTGTAGCATTTGTATTCATTTTGTGGAGCTGCCAGGGCAAAAGCCCACAGACTGGGTGGCTCTAAACAGACAGATTGTCTCCCAGCTCTGAGCTGGAGTCTGAATCTCCGTGTGACAGGGCTGCGCTCCCTCCCACGACTCTGGAGGGAATCCTTCCTCTCCTTTTCCTAAGTTCTCACCGTCGTTGGCTTGTGGACACACCACTCCAATCTCTGGCTCCATCATCGCACAGCCGTGTTTACATCGCCTTCTGTCTGTCTCCAAGTCTCTCCCCTTAGTAACAGCACCAGTCCTACTGGATTAGCCACCCCCGTGCCTCGCCTTATCTTGGTTAGAGATACACATAGATTGTTTCCAAAGAAAGTCATATCCTGAGGGGCTGAGGACTAGGACTTCAACGAAGCATTTTTCTGGGGACACGGTTCAACCCGTAACAGTGGCTGAGGAGAAGATTAGGGTTAAAGGGGTAAGAAGAGTGGGACAGAGGTGGAGGAAAACCTGCAATTGGCTGAGCTGAAAGAAATGGGGTGGGAATTCATGGAGCCATTCACCTAAGCTTTGTGTTTCCCATGTATATTTCAGTATATGTTTATACGCATTTAAAAATGGCAACTTTCTTGAAGGAATCTCATGATCAATAATTGGCATTTCTTGATTTCCAGCAACAATACTGACCGTGCATATGTACACTGAAATAATCTTTTCCATGCTTTTATCATGATTCATTAAATCTTCAATTTTAATTCTGTCATGGACTCGAGGCTAATTAATTGAGCAAATCTTTAGCAACGGAGTAGTATGAACCAGGCAGGGGGCAAGGCATGCAGAAGTACAATACAGTTCCTGCCCTCATGGCTGAGAAGACGGATTGTGTGATGCAGCATCCAGTCTGGAGAACACTTCCCACCAAGTATTCCAAGCAGAACATAGGGTGTTGATTACGATGGACAGCGGGCAGGTGGAGAGAGTAGGGGAACAGGTGGGAGTTCCCGACAACAACGTAGAAAAGTGGGCTTGCGGCTCATTGGTGGGAAACGGGTGTTTCCCAGTGCAGATGGGAGCCTGTTGCCAGCATCTTATGTTGACTCTGCAGTCCACATTGGGGACATTAGGACTAGGCCCCGCGCCAATTAACTGACCCTTGGGAACGTGCATCCACTCACCTGCTCCCACTCCTTACTGGGGAAGGGCAGTTCCTGAACACACAGGGCTCACAGGTCAGGCCATGGTGGCTGGCCTAGTTTGCCTACTCGAACAGCCCATGCTTAAAACATGCAAGTCACTTTGCAGATTTTCCCCCCTCGGGAAATACCGGCATGTTTTGATTCACAGATGGGAGTC